TAGAAAAGCCTATGGGATGTCCCCACTTTTCACAAAAACAAACCTGTGTGTGTGTGTGTGTATGTATATGTGTGTGTGTGTGTGTATGTATATGTATATGTATGTGTGTGTGTATGTATATGTGTGTGTGTATGTATATGTGTGTGTGTGTGTGTGTGTGTGTGTATGTTATGACTAAAAACTGCATGAAATTCTAATGTTTGTACTGTAAATCGATGAGATTTTTAGAAATGATACATACAATTTGTCGCACTGTATCTCCAATAATGTCTTGGTAAGATATTAAAATGTTTGTATGTTCAAAGCTCTGTAGTTTCTAAACCTATAATGCAATCTAATGATGACATTCCTTAAAGCCGATGATCATATTTGATACATTTTAACATGATTTCTAAAAAGTGTGTATGGATAGTAAACCTTTGTGTGTGTCTGTGTGTGTGTGTGTGTGTATATGTGTGTGTGTGTGTGTATGTTATGACTAAAAACTGCATGAAATTCTAATGTTTGTACTGTAAATCGATGAGATTTTTAGAAATGATACATACAATTTGTCGCACTGTATCTCCAATAATGTCTTAGTAAGATATTAAAATGTTTGTATGTTCAAAGCTCTGTAGTTTCTAAACCTATAATGCAATCTAATGATGACATTCCTTAAAGCCGATGATCATATTTGATACATTTTAACATGATTTCTGAAAAGTGTGTATGGATAGTAAACCTTCATTTACTCTTAGGTTTACTTCATTAAAAAACCTTAGCAAAGTGGACTTTTTTACAATTGCACTGAAAGGCTTTGTACTTTTTATGAGTATATGGTTGAGATGACAGAAGGGAGATTGTGTGTGATGGGTTTTTCAGCATGTTATATAAAATCTAACACCATATGCTTTGAGTTAAGGGTAGATGGAGTCTGAAGCTGTGTTTGTAGTGATGAATGAATTAGTCTGCTTGTCACATGTGCAGATGACCTGTACTCTTTATAAATCACACGTTTTTAAGTGTGACGTCTTCAGCCTGTCACCTTTTCCCGCATCTTATGTTTTGTACACTTGCTCTCAACCAATTACTCATGTCTGTTTGGTTACAGTTTCACTTTCTAGATCGACTCTTTGCTCGTTTTATATGTCTGGGTCTTTAAATAAGAGCACACGGGTCTGCCAGCACATCTTTTTTTTGTTTAAGTGAAAGAACGTTGGCATAATCTTCTCTGGAGTCTTGGTTTGGCTTCTCCTTAACCCTTCTCCTCCCAGAATGCCCTTCCTCCAGCGCGAAGCCCAACCTCAGTGACGTCATCTTGGTTAACTTAGCCTATGTTTCAGACGTGGATGTTATTAATGACCGCACTGAGACTCCTCCTCCTCTAGCATCCTTGAATATTAGCAAGGTGAGATTGCATTTTACACTTCACAATCAAATTGGGTGGTACAGTCGCGATTAAACACATTTGTCAGCCAATCAGAATCCATCTGACTTTAAAGCTTTTAAAACCGCGACATCAAATACACAGAATGGGATGCTAATATAGTTATCGTTGTGAATGGGCCTTTACTTGACTTTCTTTTATTTGGGTACAAACCAAAAGATGAGATCATTCTTGACGATAAGTCTGGCATTAGTACAAAAGCGTGACATTTTCAAAAAAAAGAGAGACCGATATTATGAAACCGATCGTGCAGACCAGCAGTGAGAATTTACAGAAATATTTATTTATTTAAAAAAAAAAAATAAAGAACAGTAATTGCTAAAGTAAAATGCATGGTGAGCTCCAAACTCCATGTCACTATGTAAATCATTTATCAAACCAAACCGATATATCTTGTTTTTTTTCCCATAAATTCTGGATAAATGAGCCACATTCTGTGAAACAGACACCTGTACATACACACCTGTGACTGTATGTCAATTAGGGATGCACTCATATGAAAATGTTGGCCGATACTAATAATTCTTTATATATTTTCAGCATGTTATATAAAATCTAACACCATATGCTTTGAGTTAAGGGTAGATGGAGTCTGAAGCTGTGTTTGTAGTGATGAATGAATTAGTCTGCTTGTCACATGTGCAGATGACCTGTACTCTTTATAAATCACACGTTTTTAAGTGTGACGTCTTCAGCCTGTCACCTTTTCCCGCATCTTATGTTTTGTACACTTGCTCTCAACCAATTACTCATGTCTGTTTGTCTAAACCTATAATGCAATCTAATGATGACATTCCTTAAAGCCGATGATCATATTTGATACATTTTAACATGATTTCTGAAAAGTGTGTATGGATAGTAAACCTTCATTTACTCTTAGGTTTACTTCATTAAAAAACCTTAGCAAAGTGGACTTTTTTACAATTGCACTGAAAGGCTTTGTACTTTTTATGAGTATATGGTTGAGATGACAGAAGGGAGATTGTGTGTGATGGGTTTTTCAGCATGTTATATAAAATCTAACACCATATGCTTTGAGTTAAGGGTAGATGGAGTCTGAAGCTGAGCTGTGTTTGTAGTGATGAATGAATTGGTCTGCTTGTCACATGTGCAGATGACCTGTACTCTTTATAAATCACACGTTTTTAAGTGTGACGTCTTCAGCCTGTCACCTTTTCCCGCATCTTGTGTTTTGTACACTTGCTCTCAACCATTTACTCATGTCTGTTTCGTTACAGTTTCACTTTCTAGATCGACTCTTTGCTCGTTTTATATGTCTGGGTCTTTAAATAAGAGCACACGGGTCTGCCAGCACATCTTTTTTTTGTTTAAGTGAAAGAACGTTGGCATAATCTTCTCTGGAGTCTTGGTTTGGCTTCTCCTTAACCCTTCTCCTCCCAGAATGCCCTTCCTCCAGCGCGAAGCCCAACCTCAGTGACGTCATCTTGGTTAACTTAGCCTATGTTTCAGACGTGGATGTTATTAATGACCGCACTGAGACTCCTCCTCCTCTAGCATCCTTGAATATTAGCAAGGTGAGATTGCATTTTACACTTCACAATCAAATTGGGTGGTACAGTCGCGATTAAACACATTTGTCAGCCAATCAGAATCCATCTGACTTTAAAGCTTTTAAAACCGCGACATCAAATACACAGAATGGGATGCTAATATAGTTATCGTTGTGAATGGGCCTTTACTTGACTTTCTTTTATTTGGGTACAAACCAAAAGATGAGATCATTCTTGACGATAAGTCTGGCATTAGTACAAAAGCGTGACATTTTCAAAAAAAAGAGAGACCGATATTATGAAACCGATCGTGCAGACCAGCAGTGAGAATTTACAGAAATATTTATTTATTTAAAAAAAAAAAATAAAGAACAGTAATTGCTAAAGTAAAATGCATGGTGAGCTCCAAACTCCATGTCACTATGTAAATCATTTATCAAACCAAACCGATATATCTTGTTTTTTTTCCCATAAATTCTGGATAAATGAGCCACATTCTGTGAAACAGACACCTGTACATACACACCTGTGACTGTATGTCAATTAGGGATGCACTCATATGAAAATGTTGGCCGATACTAATAATTCTTTATATATGATAACCGATATGTTGGCCGATAAATCTAAATCCAAATTTTTATATAATTTGAGAGCCGGATTACAAAAGAAGCCTCACCATTAAAAGCCATATCCCAAACACGTCAACATAACTCATGCAGTACTGCAGCCTTGTTTAAACCAGTGTTTTAAAATGAATTTTACACTCATATTACCAACTTCCTTTATCCAAAAATGTTCACAATATAATTTTATGTAGCCCTGCACGTTGCACTTAACTATAAGAGATTTCAATCATGTTTCAGGCCATTAAAAACCATCACGGTGAACAGTGCGAATCTGAAGTGTCTCTGAAGGAAATATTATGCATTATTTATCAGCTTTAATCGGCCAAATTTTCTTATTGGATCGATAACAAGAACAGTACTAATGAACGTTTATCGGCCGATACTGCTATGGTGGCCGATATATCGTGCATCTGTCAATTACATTTTTATGCCACGCAAGGAAGTGAAGTTTAGTTTCAGTTGCTTGCTGCAAAGTGTTTTTTCCAATACTGATATCATTAATAGCCACGCATCTTTATCTACCGTGGAAAACATGTTATTGCAAATTTTGCATCAGTTTATACACTTATTCTGCATTTTCACATAATTAGGGATGCACCGAAATGAAAACCAAAACCGAAAATGCTTTGTATTATTTAATAAAATAATAAATAATCATTACAAAGTAATTTTGTAAGACTTTTTAATTTAACTCCATTTTAATGATACTGAATTTAAAAAATACAACATACTTTTTACTGAAAGTAACAATAAAATTGGACCATTTATACATTCAAAAAAATTATTCATTGGATGAACTTGATGTAATTGAGGGCAAGATTTCCATCAATAAATGTGTGTAACCCCAACTCATAAAAAAACTAATGCAATGAAATGTAATTGAGTTGGGTCAACAATTTGATCAAATATAGTTTAAATGAAATTGATACGTTTATGACGAGATTTTTTTTATGCTTGTTGAACTCGGACTACAACATTTAACTGGAAAATAAGACTTTAGGCAGAAATCCTTCTAAACGCATACAAAAAATTGCTGCATTCAATTTACTTAACTTTGTGCTCTTTCCATTTAAAATTAGAGGCAACCACTGCATTTTAATCATAATACAAACAAAGATGCTGCATACATGCAACACGAGCAGTTTTTAATCTAAATTAGATTAAATTTGAAGCAATTGACTTCAGTTTTGTGAAACTATACATAAATATCTGCATGAAACCGAAACAGCAGACGGGCTGAACGAGACGCAGATGCACTCTCTGCCAGCAGGTGGTGCTTAAAGCCTTTCCTTGGTTACCGCTGGAAACAAAGCAGACTTATGAACTTTAATATGCGTTATACAGAGGCAAGATGAAAAGATAAAATACCATCTAAACTTTTCTAAAGACAGTAAGTTCCCCTCAGACATGGATTCATATAAACTCTTGCCCCTAATTGAATCGTGATTTGTTTAGCATCTCAACCGATTTGAATCGTCACATATTTGAATCTATTTTCAACCGGCACGCAGTTAATCGTTACATCCCTATTTACTATTAAAATCAACAGTTGTGCTTAAGTTAATGCACTCTGAATTAACATGAACTAACGGTGATCATAAATTCTGGATAAATGAGCCACATTCTGTGAAACAGACACCTGTACATACACACCTGTGACTGTATGTCAATTAGGGATGCACTCATATGAAAATGTTGGCCGATACTAATAATTCTTTATATATGATAACCGATATGTTGGCCGATAAATCTAAATCCAAATTTTTATATAATTTGAGAGCCGGATTACAAAAGAAGCCTCACCATTAAAAGCCATATCCCAAACACGTCAACATAACTCATGCAGTACTGCAGCCTTGTTTAAACCAGTGTTTTAAAATGAATTTTACACTCATATTACCAACTTCCTTTATCCAAAAATGTTCACAATATAATTTTATGTAGCCCTGCACGTTGCACTTAACTATAAGAGATTTCAATCATGTTTCAGGCCATTAAAAACCATCACGGTGAACAGTGCGAATCTGAAGTGTCTCTGAAGGAAATATTATGCATTATTTATCAGCTTTAATCGGCCAAATTTTCTTATTGGATCGATAACAAGAACAGTACTAATGAACGTTTATCGGCCGATACTGCTATGGTGGCCGATATATCGTGCATCTGTCAATTACATTTTTATGCCACGCAAGGAAGTGAAGTTTAGTTTCAGTTGCTTGCTGCAAAGTGTTTTTTCCAATACTGATATCATTAATAGCCACGCATCTTTATCTACCGTGGAAAACATGTTATTGCAAATTTTGCATCAGTTTATACACTTATTCTGCATTTTCACATAATTAGGGATGCACCGAAATGAAAACCAAAACCGAAAATGCTTTGTATTATTTAATAAAATAATAAATAATCATTACAAAGTAATTTTGTAAGACTTTTTAATTTAACTCCATTTTAATGATACTGAATTTAAAAAATACAACATACTTTTTACTGAAAGTAACAATAAAATTGGACCATTTATACATTCAAAAAAATTATTAATTGGATGAACTTGATGTAATTGAGGGCAAGATTTCCATCAATAAATGTGTGTAACCCCAACTCATAAAAAAACTAATGCAATGAAATGTAATTGAGTTGGGTCAACAATTTGATCAAATATAGTTTAAATGAAATTGATACGTTTATGACGAGATTTTTTTTATGCTTGTTGAACTCGGACTACAACATTTAACTGGAAAATAAGACTTTAGGCAGAAATCCTTCTAAACGCATACAAAAAATTGCTGCATTCAATTTACTTAACTTTGTGCTCTTTCCATTTAAAATTAGAGGCAACCACTGCATTTTAATCATAATACAAACAAAGATGCTGCATACATGCAACACGAGCAGTTTTTAATCTAAATTAGATTAAATTTGAAGCAATTGACTTCAGTTTTGTGAAACTATACATAAATATCTGCATGAAACCGAAACAGCAGACGGGCTGAACGAGACGCAGATGCACTCTCTGCCAGCAGGTGGTGCTTAAAGCCTTTCCTTGGTTACCGCTGGAAACAAAGCAGACTTATGAACTTTAATATGCGTTATACAGAGGCAAGATGAAAAGATAAAATACCATCTAAACTTTTCTAAAGACAGTAAGTTCCCCTCAGACATGGATTCATATAAACTCTTGCCCCTAATTGAATCGTGATTTGTTTAGCATCTCAACCCATTTGAATCGTCACATATTTGAATCGATTTTCAACCGGCACGCAGTTAATCGTTACATCCCTATTTACTATTAAAATCAACAGTTGTGCTTAAGTTAATGCACTCTGTATTAACATGAACTAACGGTGATCCCTACATAATCATAGTGGCTTGTAAAAACACTTCACATATCTTGTACCAGATGAACATGTGACAGTAAATAATACATTATGGAGAAGGTCTGTCAGTTTTGGCTTATTTTGACGCGTCTTTTTTCCACAGCTTGCCAGTCGGGCAAGAACAGAAAAGGAAGACAAGCTGTCCCAAGCTTATGCAATCAGTGCTGGGGTGTCAGTTGAGGGCCAGCAATTATTCCAGACTATACACAAAACGTAAGATTTGCCAACTTTATATACATTGTGAAAACGAATGCATTGAAGACTTTTGGCTTAAGATTAAAAGCATGTGAGACTACAGTGATGTGATCATTTAGAGGGTGCCTGTCTTGAGTTTGTTGTCTGGTCTCTGTGTTTTCCAGCATCAAAGACTGTAAATGGCAGGAGAAGAACATCATGGTTATGGATGATGTCGTAATCTCGCCACCGTACCAGGTGGAGAACTGCAAAGGCAAAGAGGGAAGTGCTCTAAGTCATGTACGCAAAATTGTGAGTATCATGCAATCTTTCATTTCAGTAATGGTTTATTTCAGCAGTGCTTTAATGCATCTCTTCCAGTGGCGTCTGTAGGTTTTACAAGATGGACAATATTAAAAGGAAAGGCAGCAGTCATTTTTACGTTTATGTGAAATGCATCAGATAGATAACTATAATAGATGGATTCCTGACGTTAACGTCGTTCCATCTGTCGATGCTTGTCAACCAAGAAATAATGCTACGATGCAGTGCCACCTTTTGATCTACAGGTGCTTTTTTGTGACTTCATACACTCTCAACTGTGTGAAATTGGCATTTCCATGCCATGTGTTGGAAAAATGGAATAAAATGCACTTCATATTGTGATTTTTACAAGAGCTGGGTTGACCGTTCCTTTCTTGCTTTAGTTCTCTTCCCAAGATCAGTCTTTTAATCCAAGTTGTTTTCAGTTGACGCATTAACAAAACTTCACTAAACATTATTTGTTGCGCACTTCCCATTCAATAATCTCCGCTTTCAAATTCTGCAGAAAGATGTCAATAAAATGTATGTTTGAATAAATGTGTCATGTTATGACAGCCACTGTTTAAATGTATATTTCAGCAAATAGGAGCAGAAAAACTCAATTAAATCATTAAACAGTTTAAATAGAAGCTGCCATATGTGCTGTTGAAATGTTTGCATAACTCCGCTTTTGAGTGTTGATTATTAGATGTATAAATTAAACCGCAAGAATCAATAAGTCTAGTCTGTTTTCATTTAATTTATAGAACATTGTAGCGCACCTCCCATCAAATAAATCACAGTAAGCTTTGAGCTTTACTTTTGAAATGAAACAAAGTCTCAGATTTAAAATTCTGTCCGTTGTATTACAAAGCGCCTCGGTTCAAGAGAAGCGGCAGTGTGACCTGATCATCGCTTCCGCTTTAATACTAGTTGCAGCACTACATAAACATAAATAAACATCCGAAGGCAAGTTACAAGAGAGTACGATTTACCATATCTTGTCTCGTGTAGTTGCTCAATCAGTGTTTCAACTGCACAAAGACGTCAGTGTCACGTAACGTCACATTTACTTCAGAAACAAACCTATTCGGTGACCATAAACTCGTTAGTCAGCTAGGAAAATAAACTCTAGAAAAGGGCATTTTGTGAAATTATATATGCACCATAGAAAATATTCATTAGATATGAGTGTACTAGTGTATGAAAGATGGGTTCAAGTGTACCACAAGTGGTGACTAAATACAGATAGTATGTTAAAAGTGCATTTTATTTCATATTCAATGGTGTCCCAAAATAGTACAGTTGAGCACACTTCGATGGTCTTAAGTAGTACTAAAGAATCATTTGTAGTATATTAAGTACAAAATTAGTGTGTGAAAATAAAGCACTTTAAGTGCATTATGGAAGTGTAGTTTTTTTTGTAACGGTGCTAAAAAACCCCAACTTATTTTATAGAAAGCAGTTGACATGTTTCTGAATAGTTTCTGCTGTGCTCGGTGCATCCTCCTCTACAGCTGTACAACTTGCTTGTCTCTTTCCTTTCAGGTTGAGAAACATTTTAAAGATGTGGAAAGCCAGAAGTCGATGCAGCGCACACCAGCACAGCAAACACAGAAGGACTCGTCTCTATCCTCCTGAGTGGGGGGTATGGCTCGTCTGGGGAGGGCACCGCGGGCATCCAGGGCCTAAGAGCTGGTGCAAGCCAGCGCTCTTCTCCCCCTCTGCGGCGCAGTCCGAGGGTGGATGCACCAAGGGCCTAGGGTCTGGAAGATCAACAAAAGAAACAAACACACACAAAAAAACATTAAAAAAAAAAAAAAAAGCAAAAATGTTTTAAGGAAAAAACACGAGAGTGAAAAGAGTTCATTCTAAATTAGACTTTATAAAGATAATTTAAAACGCCAACCATCAAACAAACCATAGTTTATTTGACTAACTTACAGTGTCTTATCCCCTCCTTCCTCCTGTGTTTCATCTGAAACAGCTTTTCATATTTTCTTCTCTTACATCCCTCCTTCGCCTTCTATTCCATTTTGTCAAAAAAAGAAAAAAACAAATCGGTCAGAAAAGCTTGTTAGCTTTTACTTTTTATGCTTTTTCTTTTGGCTGTTTATGTTCTACAGTTGTGTCTGTTCTGTATTTTAAACGAAATGTGATTTCAGATGCCACGCGTTACAAAGGACGTTTTCTAAAATAAAAGTAACAAAAATTCTGACTAATACTGTACTTTCAGTTGCTTTTTCGCAAACTTTGAACACACTGCTTGCAAAAAGGGGTTAGAAAGTATTGGGTTTAATTGCTGAAACTAATCAAATAGCATCTGAGTGGTTTTGCAAAAAACGCACTAGGTAAACTTCTTACGGGAGTTTCTTTGATCAGTTAGAACAGCATCGGCTCTTTTCAGAAAATCTATTTTACGCAGTATGCACTTTATATCTGTTCTGCATTCAAACCAGTATAACCGTGTATCTGGGCATTGCAGTTCTAATGTGAAATATGAAGTCAAATCATCTGCCGTTTTATTTTCAGAATAACTGAACACTGTTTGCTGAGCGCATCGGCCCTTCCACAAATTAAAAGCCTTAAAAAGGTTCAATCAGAGCAGAAACTCTTAAATTAAAGTCATGGCATTAAGATATATTTACTTGAGAGAACGTATCTTTGCATCTCATTTTCTGAGTTTTTTTAAATAAAGGTTTTTGTGTTTTCAAGCTTTGAAGCATTGCTAATACAAATTGTGTGCTGCTTTGAAATTTACATTCAGAGAACATTGTTCCATTTATTCCTTACATTTTCTTTATTTGGTCTTAAAAATCTTAAATTTACCAAAATGCACTGCAGGTTTATTTCCCTTAATAGCTTTATTTTCATATACTGGGCAGTGTAGATTATATTCTGTGCCAAAAGCAAGCAGTTATTCTCTAGTGGCATGTTTGTTCCTGGAGTATTTTTTAGAAATCGGAAGGGAAATGTGATTCTGTGTCTGTGCAGTTATAATTAGGTTTACTAGTCACATATCTAAAACATCTCTAGCTACAGACTTGGGTTAATTACACATATGTGTCCCTGCAGCACAAAAGCAGTGTTAAGTCGCTGGGGGATATTTGTAGCAATAGCCAACAATACATTGTATGGGTCACAATTATACATTTCTCTTTTATGCCAAAAATCATTAGGATATTAAGTAAAGATCATGTTCCATGAAGATATTTTGTAAATGTCCTACCGTAAATATATCAAAACTTAATGTTTGATTAGTAATATGCATTGCTAAGATCTTCATTTGAACAACTTTAAAGATGATTTTCTCAATATTTAGATTTTTTTGCACCCTCAGATTCCAGATTTTCAAATAGTTGTATCTCGACAAAATATTGTCCGATCCTAACGAGCCATACGTCAATGGAAAACTTATTTATACAGCTTTCAGATGATGTATAAATCTAAATTGACCCTCATGACTGGTTTTGTGTTCCAGGGTCACATATAGGTTTTCAATGGATTATTTATCACTACTATGAACTAAGAAGTGTTTGACGTCCCTTGACTCTGTTATGGCAGTGTCAAAAGCTCTTGATTGTTCTTGAATAATTAAGGATAAAGGTTGGATTATTACTGTAACTAATACACATTCCATTCACACAGCTGGCACCCATTTCCATCTCTAAACAAACCATAGCACACGTCAAAGATTTAACAGTGTACGGTGCTCCTCAAGGTTTCTATTGAGATCTTCAGAGGAGAACTGTAAGACTGCACATCGGTCCTGCTTCCAAACCGATGGAGCGTTCAATGAAATATTCATGATGTACCAAGTACTCTTGTTTCTTGAGTGATGAGGATAAATCAAGTCAGTGTGATAGACTTAAATGCAGAGTTGCATGTGAGATGCTCACCATCCAGGTGAAGAATCTCAAGCTTTGTGTTTCTTTGGTGAAGCAAGAACCAAGGGTGCAGGTGTAGTTCAGTTTTCAAGAATCTGATAGAGAGGAAATATGAATCATCCATGTTTCTGCTCAATCTATATTCATAAAGACTGGTGAGTACAATTAGAGCTGTAATTGATCTGTTTCTGTAAGGCATGCATTAATTTGATCTATGCACATCTGTCCAGGAAGAAAGTTGATTAACATAAAAGTGATTAACTCTTATTCTGTGTGAAATGATAAACGGATTAAAGGATTTCAAGTTCTTTAGATAATTTGGCTTCTCATGCCAAGCCACAAATCCTTGTAGATCCCGGACCACAAGCTGTTTGAAAATGCATCATAAATGCACCATCTTTTCAGCTCGACTTGATGATTCTGCACTGAGGACGAGCAAGGCAAGTGTGCTTGTTAATCTGGAATGCCTACAAGCATTTCTTCCTCTTTCTGAATGGAGACTCTGAGCTGTTGAAGATGCTCTGCGTCGTTGTTTTACACATGGCTTTCCTCGTGGGGAGCTCAAAGCTCTGCCCTCATCGGTGTTTTTGTTACGATGCGTCTGAACTGGTGGACTGCCGATCCCGAGGGTTCGCTCACATTCCCCACAGTATTCCACATGGCACGTGGCTCCTGGAGCTCAGTGGGAATAAGCTGTCGGAGTTGAGGAGCACCTCCTTCACTGGGATATGGGCTCTCAGGGCCCTTCTGCTTTCACAAAGCAACATGCAGGTGGTGCATTCTAAGGTACGTTCAGTTTTGCTTGTTTTTGCAAATTCATGTTTCAGTCTACACAGATTTTTTTACTGGCATTAATGCCTCCATGAACAACCATGGAATCATTCCATTGAACAAATGGTTCTTTTATAGTGGAAAAATTGTTCTACACTTAAAAATAAAGGTTCCAAATTATTATTATTGTACAGCAATGGCATAGAAGCACCATTCTGGTTCCCCAAACAACCGTTTACTGAACAGTTCTTAAAAGAACCATTGTTTTTTCTTAGTTTGAAGAACTTTTTAATATCCTAAAGAGCCTTTTCGCACTGTACACTCTTAAAAATAAAGGTCTCAAAAGGGGGATTTCTCAATGGTGCCATAAAAGAACCATTTCCGGTTCCCCAAAGAACCTTTCAGTGAACATTTCTTAAAAGAACCATTATTTTCTTAGAGTGAACCGTATGTAAAATGGAAAGTTCCCTTGGATGTTAAAGGTTCTTTGTAGAACCACTGATGCCCAAAAACGAATATATTTAAGAGTGTGAAGAACCTTTTGTCCCGTGGATGTTAAAGGTTCAACTATTGATGCCAAATAAATGACATTTTATGTTTAGGAGTGTAATCTTTCCATTGTGCAAAAAGTTCTTTTTATTGGAAAAAGGTTCTTCACATTAAGAAAAATTGAACCCAACATAGTTCTTCTCTGGTTCTTTTATGGACCACAAAAGAAGATATTTAGAAAAATGGTATTTGTGACCTTGGACCATAAAACCAGTCATAAGGGTCCATTTTTTAAAATTGAGATTTATCCATCCAATAATCTTTCCATTGATGTATGGTTTGTTAGGAGAGGACACTATTTGAAAATCTGGAATCTGAGGGTGCAAAAAAATCTAAATATTGAGATAATCATCTTTAAAGTTGTTTAAAGCTTATTTATCCAGCTTTCATAATTTAAAAAATGACCCTTATGACTGGTTTTGTGCTCCAGGGTCAAATATAGATTTTTGATGGAGGCATTAAAGTTATGCAACCTTGGTGAAGTTTAATTATAGCCTACATTTAGATTTGTACATCTGGCCATGCATTTAAGGTTCAAAATTCATAAAAGTTGTGCTCATCTGTGAAGCTAATGATGAACAAAACCTTCTAGAATCACAAACTTATGCTGGTCACACAACTGTTTTTTTCCCCAGTGTACATCCAAAAGCCAATTGGAAAATACTACTGTTTTTTATTGATGCAAACTTACAGTTTGGCCTACAAAAAGACTTCTACGGCAAAGCACAGTTATTACTTCTGGTGCCACACGATAACATTGATATTAGACTTAACAATACAAAAATAATGGACCTGCCATTGAAAAAATAATTAATAAATAATCTCCATAATGGACCTGCCCCCCCACATAGGACGCATATGTGCTGAGGGCCAGAGAGAACCACCTTCTCTTCACTCCGAAGCACATGAAACTGGCACACAACCCTGCAGCTCCTAAATCAGAGTACAGGTAAAGCACCTGGATGTCTGGCTTCCTAAAAAGACAAAAACAGCTGTTTAAGACTTTGGCCAGCTTCTTTATCAGTTCTTTAAATGAAACTTAGTTATTATCACTTCTTTTAAAAGGTACTGATATGTTTAGGTACTTATACAGTATTTTAAATGCATGGAAATGATACTGAATGCAAGTAAAGTGTCTAATGTAATGTTTCAAATCACTTTTGTGAAAATAAAATGTCAAGATATGAGTGAAATAATGTTTCACCGGCATTCAGTGTAACGGATACATTCATGTAAAAATGAAACAACACGTATTCTGACCAGTAAAAAAATGCAAAAGAAAAAGTGATCATACTTTAAATGATTAGAAACGTTGCTGACCTGGTTTGAAGGATAGTGGCAAAGATTGGTGAAGATTAAAAATGACAATTCATTAGTTTTTGGTTCTTAAATAGAGTCTTTTATTGTCCTCTAATGATTCTGGTTCGAAATATGCCTGACAAGATGAACTGTTGTTACACTGAATGACATTTCTGTGGGTGTAACTCATGGTAGTAGTGTAAGAGAGTCATTATTATTTGCTCAGAGAAAAATACATCTGTATTAAACTCTTATTGTTCTGATTGGTGTTTGACCCATGTGCTTTTAGAAGCTCGCTGTGAAGTCACTGATCACGAATCAAGCTCTCTGCTGCTAATCCTGGACAAACAGACCTGACCCAGATCCAGAGAAGCCGGCTTACCCAGAGTTCAACACACACACACACACAGGTTTGTTTTTATGGTTTATGGGGACTCTCCATAGGCGTAATGGTTTTTATACTGTACAGACCGTATATTCTATTGTCCTACACCAACCCTACCCCTAAACCTACCCCTCACAGGAGACTTTCTGCTATTTCAGATTTTCAAAAAAACTCATTCTGTATGATTTATAAGCTTGTTTCCTCATGGGGACCTCAAAAATGTCCCCACAAGGTCAACATTTACTAGTATTTCTATCCTTGTGGGGACATTTGGTCCCCATAACGTGATAAATACCAGGTACACACACACACACACACACACACACACACACACACACACACACACACACACACACGAGTGGAAACACAGCAGATATAGATGTAGTTTGGAGGTCTGGCAGTGTTCTCCTCCAAAACTATCCAACATAGCTGTTTAGACGTGGACTTGAAACACTCTTAATCATCAGATAATAGTTTTGGGGAATGTAAGAAAGCATTGCAGTTATTAAGCATTAATCCTGGGCTGAGCAGTTTTTTGGGCCATGATGCCGGTGCATGACGGCCAAACGTACTTCACATTGAGTTTAACACAAGCATCTGAGAGATCTCAAGACTATTTTATTCCATGACGGATTTTAAACACCATTTCAATGGGATAGTACACTTCAAACACACAAAAATGGCATGTCGCACTAAAAAAAGAGAGATTTTTTCAAAGTACTAAATAAAACAATGATTGCAAAAGATACTATTTAAATTTCACATTAATTTCAGTGTGTTCTTGCAATTTTTTTGTGAAATTTACTAGCAATTTCTGAGTGTAAATTCCTTCTACGTAAATCCTACACCATTTTCTTTTAGTGTAGTTCATATCTATGGCATGAAATTCATATAGCTCTATATTATTCATATATTATTGTATATTGAAAGGACTCTCCTATTTTATGTACTGTATTCTGATGTGCTAAAAAGAGACATGTTTTTAATAAACAATATAACAAAATCAACCAGGGTGATTTTTATAACCATTTTTAATAATTATCAAGATTTGGTTTCTTTGTTGAATTAGATTTAAAAAAATGTTTTTTTCTTCCTCCTTAAAGTTCCCATATTGTCAAAATTGAAATTTCCTGGCTTTTTTCATGATAACTGAGGTCTAGGGGCTATTTAACAACCATATAAGTTTCAAAACAGTCAGTCCACAGTAAAATGCACACAGCCTGCTTAAAGTAGCTGTGAGTTTTCACGAACCGTTGTGACAAAAGTTGACGTCAGAACTACACAGTCACCGCCTTCAGTCACCCCCCCAAAAGCTTAGGGTTGGTTTTTTAAAGAAGTCTCTTCTGCTCACCAAATAAACAAAAATTCAGTAAAAACAGTGAGATATTATTATAATGTAAAACAGCTGTTTTCTGTGTGAGTATCTGTTAAACTGTAATGTATTCCTGTGATGAGCAGCTGTATTTTCAGCATCATTCCTCCAGTCTTCAGTGTCACATGATCTTCAGAAATCAGTATAATATGCTGATTATTAGAAACATTTCTGATTATTATCAATGTTGAACACAGTTGTGCTGCACAATATTTTTCATGCATGTTATTTTTCAAGATTCACAGAACAGCATTTATTTGAAATCTTTTGTAAAATTTTAAACGTCTTTCCTGTAACTTTTGATAATTTTCATGAGTACTTGCTGAATAAAAGTATTAATTTCACAACAACAGCAAAATTGTACTGAGCCCAGACTGTTAAACGGTACTGCATGCTTCAGTATTTATCACGCCTGGCTATTAACAGAGTTTGTATTGATGAAAAACCTAAAAACCAAAATCAATGTCCTGCATAAACAAACCTGTAGATGTTTAATTGCATTGAGGCAGGACAGTAAGACATGTTTGGCTCCAGGCCGTCTGAGGACTTCTTCAGTGTCTCTCACAGAACATTTAACTTTGGAAATGAATATTTACTGCTTTAACTAATGCTCAGAGATATACAAACCACACGGAGCTCTGTCTAGGCAGAAGTTCACATGCTTAGATCCTTACTAAAAGCCATTGATGATAGCTGACAGAGTAATTCCATCAGTGCAGCATTGAGGGACAGCGGCAGTGTTTCAGTGTTGTTTAGAGGTGACTCCTCACAAGCCTAATGAGATCAGGGCAGGCCGATGACATCAGAGCGCAATCCCCTCCAGGATCAGTCTCCACACCTGAGGAGGAGGGCTCCGGAGAACAGAAATAGAGCAGAAGAGCCTCTAGGCAGAAGTTCACATGCTTAGATCCTTACTAAAAGCCATTGATGATAGCTGACAGAGTAATTCCATCAGTGCAGCATTGAGGGACAGCGGCAGTGTTTCAGTGTTGTTTAGAGGTGACTCCTCACAAGCCTAATGAGATCAGGGCAGGCCGATGACATCAGAGCGCAATCCCCTCCAGGATCAGTCTCCACACCTGAGGAGGAGGGCTCCGGAGAACAGAAATAGAGCAGAAGAGCCAGAGATCAGAGCGTAGTCTGTTCACAGACGGACAGGAGAGGAGTCTCAATGCTGATGATCTCCTAGGAGTCTTCAGGACCTTTCTCTGACTGCTGCCAGTCCCATTCAACAGGTAAATGGATGGCTTTTGTGTGTGTGTGTGTGTGTGTGTGTGTGTGTGTGTGTGTTTTTGTGACAAATGAGGACATAAATTTGTATAATGACAAAGGTATGACAGGTATTACAAGGAGAAGGTGACTTCAGGACATTACCCCATGTCCCCACTTTTCAAAACGCTTATAAATCACACAGAATGGAGTGTATTGAAAATCTGAAATAGCACAAAGTCTCCTGTGAGGGGTAGGTTTAGGGGTAGGGTTGGTGTAGGGCAATAGAATATACAGTCTGT